GAACAACATAGATTTATTCAAATGAATGCAAGTATCATGAATTATTTTGATGAACCATGACAAAGGCTTCTCATTAATAGAGTTTATTGCACAATTAGATTGGAATAGATAGAGGAGCTACATAGATTTATTCAAATGAATGCAAGTATCATGAATTATTTTGATGAACCATGACAAAGGCTTCTCATTAATAGAGTTTATTGCACAATTAGATTGGAATAGATAGAGGAGCTACATAGATTTATTCTAATGAATACAAGTATCATGAATTATTTTGATGAACCATGACAAAGGCTTCTCATTAATAGAGTTTATTGCACAATTAGATTGGAATAGATAGAGGAGCTACATAGATTTTTTCATTGTGTATTTCTTTGAAATGTATCTCGTTTATTCATTTCCCATTTTTTAAGAAATATATCTGTTATTCATTTCTAGTTTTCACTTCGTCTTTCCTGAATAAAAAGATAACATGAAGTGTGCATATCCGGAACACTCGCCGTAAACATTTTTGCCATTGGAAAACTCGCATCAGGAATTTTTGTTGTAGGAAACTTCACCATATAAGAGTTTTGCCATGAGACAATTTCCCCATTTTTTTTTCCGATACCCTTATCTTGAACATCCCTTTTGGAGTAATGTTCAATTTAATATGCAAAGTACCTTGTTATCAAATATATTTCAGTTTGAATTATATAACAAGGTGATATTTTAAATTGTTTATGTTTTTATGTTTGACAAATTGAATGTCAATTATGCTTTGGATCAAAAGGTGGTGTGCTGTTAAATGTATGTTCAAATTTAAGAAAGTATATTTCAATAGTTAGGTTTTTATAATGAATTTAAAACAGTTTGTGTTTGCAAATAATTTGTGTAAATTTCAAACGACTTAGAGTTTGAAAGGATTATCTTTCTTTGATCAGATATTTTATATTCAAGTTGGGTGTGTATTCAAGTTGTAAGTTTGTTTGAAATAATATATATTACTTGAGTGAGAATTATTGGCAGATTGATATCATGCTAATAGAAAGTTTAACGTTAAGTCTGAAATATGAAATTGCGTGACGTCGGTTCTGGTGTCAAGTTGAAATTTTTGCGCACTTCACTGGTGAGAATGAATGATGTAGGATTTTGTTCTATACAGCAAAGTTTTCTATGGCAAAAATTTCCGAGGCAAGTTTTCCTATGGTAAAAATGTTTACGGCGAATGTTCCTAGAAACTGAAATGTGGACCTTTCTCAATGAGACTGGAAGACAGCTACATTCATTAATTCTTTCGACAGATTAAATATACTGGAATATCACTGATTGAACAGAACAATATAACAAAGAATTTATTTCTATTAATGTCAAAAGAAATCTATAAGAAATAATTTGTACATTATTTGTCCTCATTATTTTTACATTCATCATCATCAGACCCTCAGCTGCTTCAATTGTTGCAGAGGCTTTCCTGCCCTGTGACCTGACCAAACTATGCCATCTGAGATTTAATAATGGCTAGGAGAGATTCCGAATAGAAAATGAAACTGTTGACCTTGCTCTTTACATAGTCATTGTTTTTGTGCTCCAAGTAGGAGATGTGGAGGAGCTTTCCTCAGGCATTTGTTCTTAAGCTTCTGGGTATTTTTTCCTGTCTCAGCCATAAGTGTCCAAGTTTCAAACCAGCAATTTGTGGAGCTTGAATTTGGTCTGGAAACTGATGTTGCTCTTTCATATTATTTCCAGTCTGGTCATCGCAGCTGTAGCTGTGATGATCTACGTGCAGATTTTTTTGTTGCAGGTGCCATCTTTTGACAGGGTTGCTCCCAAGTATTTTCATACTACTGGACACAAATATGTAGTAGTACTAGTTTAATGAAATTGCTGTACTGAATATTGATAACACACAATTTAATGACATTTAAGTCCAGACTTTGAGAATTACTGTTGGTCAGTTTGTAATTGGCCCAAGGTTCTTCATCCAAAGTTTGGACCTTACATTTTTCCCATGCAATGCCTGAGTTAGATTCTCCACTTACCACTGGAATGAATGTTTATATATCTATATCTGTCATATGTCTCTTTCCCCTGCTTGAAGTCTTTTCTTACTGAACTGAAAAATCAAAGGAAGATAAATTTTTGTCAAATTAAAGGAAAATTTTAATTCATCCTAAAATAGATAAAGTATAATTTCTATCTCAGTGTGAAATTATTCTGCAGAGAAATTTCTGTAAATAAACTGAAATGAATATCAGTAATAGAACTGAATCTTCTAATGTAGTATATGACTTATTTGACCTCTTATTTTTACATATATATATATATATATATATGAGAGAGAGAGTGTGCGCTCCAAAGATTTACTAAAAATGAGCATACACAATGAAAAAAAATACCCGAAACTAAATAAAAACAAAGTTTTATCATTAAAATCTTTGTTATTATTAAGAGGAAAGACTAAAGGATATTTTGGTTATTAAATTATATTTTTCAATCATTTTTAGGATCTTGAAAATTTTGGTTAAAAATTTGATTTTTCTTGTGTCAACACAATTAGTGTGCAAAATTTGAACATCTTTTTAAGGTACAAAGCACATTCTTGCAAAAATCTGATAATTCTCAGATTTTAATGCAACTTTCAGAACTTATTCATAAATGAATAAATTATTTTTAAACATTCTTTTTAGAAAATCTTAGTAAAATATTTTTTAAATGTGTTACTCCTGCCCCCACTTCTTTAATTTTATCAAATTGCGAGAAATTAACTTTTGTAGGGCTTAATGTTTATATTAGTTATAAGCACAAGTCTTTGGAGAATTTAAATCATCAATTTCTTTTTGTAAGACAGAAACCCCATAAAATCTGCTCTTAATCATAAAATAAAAAATGCAATAAAACTAAGACATTATTTAATTAGGAAAGCTTTTAATTGCTTTTATGAATAACATATATTATGGTCACTATTATCTTAAGAAAAATTTTTTTCAGTGAATAATGATTTTTTACAAGAATTGTTTTCATTTTTTTAATTTTAATAATCTATAAAATGTCAAAATTCTGTATTAATTTGTAAAGGTTAGGTGATATTGTTATTAAGTAAAAATCATATTTTCTAATCATAAATGGAAAACTTACTACAATTCAGCAACCCACACTGCATTGGTATTTTAAAATGAATTTTTAATTATTTTTGTGTGAACAAATGTGCCAATTTTTGTAAATACAGATGTCCATACATGACATTATTAGAAAATAACATTAGTAACTATAATAAATTTAAAATTTATTGGTAATTTTCTAACAGTTCCTCAACATGCATCTTCATAAGTAAGACTATAACACCAAGGTACCTAAAATTCAATAAAATGTTAGATTACTAAATTTACTAAAGGCCTTGAATTATTAAGATTACTGGGTAGTTAAAAAAATTATATTAAAAAGGCTTTCAAGTTATATTTACCAAGTAATTATTACAGTTATGTCCTCTGTAGAAAAAATTGCCAAACATAAGTCTATCAAGAGAGTTGTCTGTATGAAAAAATGCTTTTTGGCAATATTTTAAACTAAAAGTAATCAGATTAATTAAGACTTAAATTGGCTAATATTTCTCAAATAAAGTTTCAGAAAAGTATTTTTTATTTTTGAAAGATTTTTTAATGAAGAGAATTACATTGTTTGATTCCAGCCATTTTTAGTGATTTCCAAAAAAAAACAAATAATCATTCAACTCCATTTAAATTCAGTTTGAAATACAGCAAAGTATTTTGCTTATTAAAAATATTAAATTTACTCTATTTGCTTGAAATTAAAACTAAAAGCTTCAAGAAAGATTTGGTATTTTTAAAAATGCATTTTAATTCTTAGGTATTGCTTTTCTTTGGAAGTATGTATACATCTTTCTTTTAATCATTTCACCCCAAACAAAGCAATAATGCCACTAAGGCACAAGGGGTTAGTAAGTGTTAGAGAATATGAAAAAAAAATACCATTAAGGAAAGAGAACAATAAAAGAACAAGAATTTGGAAGAGAGAAGATAGCAATTAATATTGCATTTAAATTTTTGAAGATCAAAGTTGACTGGGAAGCCAGAAGAGTTCCACAAGCAAGAAGTTTTATAGAAGAAACTGAAAGCATAGAACTTATGGTTACATCTAGCAGCCATTTTAAATGTAAGGTGATGAAACTGTGTTACCAATCCTGTACTGAATTTAAATTCCTAAAGTCAAGGTACCATAGGGGAAAATTCATCAGAATGATTACCCTGAAAGTATTTTGTTGCATAGGACTGGTTTTCAGAGCATTCTGGATGTTTGTGACTAATGGATAATCCCATTTATGCCTGATATAAGCACAATCATATATCTCTAGGACATGGTGGAAAAGTATGTTTGCATGCAAAATCCTCTCCACTACAAATAACAGGAAACTTTCGACTGCTATCAAGATATGATACCTGGGCATCTTTTCAGAGGCTTTCCAACCACATGTGGAAGCTTTGCTAGAGTGAGTTCAGCACAGATATTCCATGACTAATGGAATATCAGTATAGATTAATAATTACTAGAGCAATTACTTTCTTATCAAATATCTGGTGTTGCATTTTCAAACACTTAACATCTAAAAAGATAATATACAATGGGGAAAAGTCATACACTTTTGATATCTGTAAATCTGCATTTCAAATTGATCCAATTTAAAATCTTACATGAGAAAGTGCAATGAAGAAAAATTCAATTTTTGTGATGTATATACTACAGATAGTATAGTGAGAGCCAAGGTGTGGCATTTGATGATCTCTTTTTCTAATATACCATGTCTTGAGTTCATATGGAATCAAGTCAGAATCAAAAATAATACTAAAAAAAAAATATTTCATTATTGAATTTTGGTCAAGACCTCACCTAGCATGGAATGGCTGGCTTATCTCATTATCATTTCCCTAACCCGATTTGTGATGACAAATGGGTGTCCCTTCTTTCATCCAGTCCTAATAATGAAAACCCAGTTAAGGCTAGACTTACGGCCACATCATGTTGAAACACCAGTTCCCGTATGATTACCAAAGTTAAGCAACATCAAGCCTGAGTAGTACTTACATGGGTGACCACTTAGGAATACCAGATGCTGTAAGCTTGGATGTGCAGATGGTGTAATGGATAATGGCTTGGAATTGTTAATTGAAGAGCTGTGTTCCAATTCCTGTTTGGTTTGTTATATTCACTTACGCATAAATACCTTTGAGAAAGATATGGATCCACTTCTTCTTCTCCCCCAGCTATGGATTAATTAGTAAAATTTGTATCACTCAACCATTATTATCTCCCCACTAAAAATTCTTACAATCTATAATTTTTCATGTCTTAATTCAATTTAATGTAATTCAATGATTTTCCTTTCTCCAACAGTCTAGCTCAGGGTACATGTGTTATGCTAGTAAAATACAAATTCCATAGCATGGTTATTATTTCTCATTGGCTTATCGAGTTAACTCCTATTCCAACTGTCAACCAACCAGATGTAAAAATCAACACTAGTCATTTTGATTAATTAGTTGATTAAAAGAGTATATATTTTTTAAATTTAAAATATGAATTTTGAAATGGTCCGACATGACCAAATTAGTCTATATTTCTAAGATGAGGTATTATGTACACTATTTACATTATTTGGACTATTGTCCTCATCTTTGTCGCCATATTTATTACAACGTTTTGGCCGTTGTACACTCTGGCCTCCTTCAACTGGTTGGAATGTCGAACTGGACCCTTTATTTTGCTCACTGGGGTAAACTGTTCTAGTTCCACATGCCATGTTTTAATGGATGCCAGTTATCAGTTATCAGTTATCTCCTGTTAATTCCCCTCTCCATGTTCTCCACTGCCTTAACCAGGTATTGAACTCACACTCTTTGGGTCCTGTCACTAGATCTATCCAACGCCTGTATCTACTGTGCAATGTGTCCTTGAGGACATCTGTGTATGAATTTCTGGGAATTATAAACCTAATGTCTTCAGTAACGATTTTTTACCACATCTCTCTTGCACACAGGAAGTTTCAATAAGCTTTTATATGTATAAAGAATGCATAGAGTGAGTAGACGAATATAGAAAGATGAGTGTGATGAAGATATGTTTTTTATATGACTTATTAACTTGTACAACAAGATCATTCTAAGAGAATTAGATTAACACATGCTCTGCAGATGTCACTGCTTTGGTGGCAGATTGAGATGAAAAACTGAAAAGTAATTCCAGAGAGGATAGTTGATGTCAGCAAAAGAAAAGGACTAAGAGAATTAGAGGACATGCCAGGATTTGTTATCAGCAGACATTACATTAACAACAAGCACAATGCAGATGACACTGTCTTGGTGGTAGATTAAGATGATAAACTGAAAATTCTAGAGAGGATAGTTGATGTCAACAAGAGAAAAAGACTAAAAGAATTAGAGTATAGAGTTTAACCCCTGCATGGCAGTGAACCATAAGCCAATAATCATATGTGATTTATCAACATTTTCATTGGTTAACAAATATTTAAATGTATTTACTGTGTATTTACATGTGCTAATGAGAGATTTTGTGCAAACTAAATGCAAACCAGGTTCCAGACAAATCTTACAATAATCATTGCTGACTAGTCAATATATATCAAAAGTCACAACAACACCTACACACAGTGTTTAGATTCAAAATATCGCCAAAATTTTGAAATGTGTTCTTGATCCGATCACGTGATTAAGAAATAAACAAAAACGATGCACGAACCCATTTCTTCAGGGAGTCTTTTTGCACGGCTAACAACTGCCAATCTACTACATGACATTTTTTTCCTTTGAAGTTACAAAATTAGAATTTTCTGAACACGAAAAATAAACTTCAATGCAATTCAAGCCAATTCATTCATTCATCATTACTGGATTCATTCATCACATATTGAAGTTCTAGATCACGGAATTTATCTTCAGCAGAATGCATAAAATATTTCTTGCACTGGATTTTATCAACTACCAAGTTAAAGTTCTCAGCTACAGAATGAATTTTCATCCAGCTTTTTGTAAGATATTTTTATTTATACTTTGACAAGAAAGAATACAGTCAAAAGAAGATAACTTTGTCACTAAACTCTTATAATTTACACTACAGAAATTATGCTATACAAACTGTTTAAATTTCATTTTAAACAAGTTTATTAATCCACAAACTGTATAAAAATTACATATATTACTTTAAATAAGTATTTCTTTCAGCAAACTTAAATTCACTTATCACTTTTCATCCTAAGAGTTTATACACAAAATTTTAAATCCACAATCATCATCGCCATTACACACACACACACACATACATACAGACCATACGGCAAGCATTGATTGGCTAATCTCCTCAAAACTAGCTTGCTGATTGGTCAGAATTGACCAATCAAATTGCCAGTACGTGAGGAATAATTTTCCTGCGCACAAGCTTCTGAGCCTACCATGTGAGACACAGCCTTATATAAACAAAACACAAGCGTCTCTCTCTCTCGTGTTTCTCTTCATTCATCTTTTTCCTTGCTGCCAAAATGTAATCTTCAAGAGCTCCCATCTTAACTGTAAGGTCAGATGTTAAAGAACATTGCCAACAACTCTTACCGACTTTCTCGCAAGTCATCAGTAGAGTCCAGCTATTACGCCTGTCTACACAAATCCATGACTTTACTCACAACACACACACAGACACACATTTTTGTATCACATTACACATATCTTCCTCTCTGTGACTAAGCCAAGTTCATGAACCAGAACTCTATTACTTTCTCAAAACAACACTTCTTAATTAACTGTATTCTGTTCTAACACCAGACTCTATTCAACATAGAATCCTGAACATTCTTATTTAAGAGAAATTCTTTTGAACATTTAATCTTAATCAGAATACAGTTTAATTTTCTCCCTTAATTATGACACACCATTGCATGATTGTTTTGTATGTTATTGTTTCTATATATATTTTATTGTTGATGCACAATTAAAGTCTCGTTTTTTCTTGAATCATTAAATGTATAATAGATAAATACTCTTAGAACAGGCAATTACATTTGATAACCTCAGCGCATAAACCCAAGCAGCATTTACAACACCTTTTCATTCAAAAATCTCAATCTACACAAATTGCTTTGTAAGATCCTTAAATTTTTATTGTTGTCGTTAAAAAAAATGAGTTTTATTGTTGTTTGTCATATTTATGCTTATTCTATGTTTGTTGAACACCGAAAGTTAAATGTGAATAGAAACAGATAATTTCATCACGTAGACCTATTTTCTCAATAATACTTTACCAGACTAAGCAAAAATTATCGGTATTTCACTACAAGAGGACACGCCAGGATTTGTTATCAGCAGATTAACATTAACAACAAACATGATGTAGATGTTACTGTCTTGATGGCAGATTCTGATGGAAGACTGAAAAGTAATTCTAGATAAGATAGTTGATGAATGCAAGGAAAGAGAACTGAACATTAACTGTAAGAAGAGAGAATGCAGGGTTTTGAGCAAAAAGGACAGCCATGATATGTGTTATACTGGAACATACCTATTCTATTGTGAATAGACTCTCCCACAGATAAGTAGTAGTAGTAGCAGTCGCCGGGGGGCTCAGTGGAGTTGGTGTGTCAGTCGATGTTGGACATTAAAGTATCAACCACCACAACTAGATTGCTGCGTCATTAACTATTATTTCAAGTTCCTAACGTTTTGTACGTCGAACCCTTTTAGGACCAACTTAGTGAAATACAAACCTCCGCTGTGAAAACTACTCTACAACATATTGGCAATGAGGGATTCGTTTCTCATACGGAGGAAGAAAAACTTTTCATTCACTCTACAACAATATGGCATCAAGCATATCAGAAATGAACAGGTACATGTATAAAACTTTATGTGACATGTAATCAAAGAAGAAATGTAAGAAAGACAGAGATACAAAGAGCGTAAGAATACTGAAAGGGGTCACTCAGTAAGTATATAGCAATAAAATCTGCAAATTTAACCCAAAATAAAAGACTCCATAAAGTTATCATGAAGTCAGTTAGAAACAATAAAAGAATTAGTCATGATTGCCCACACCCTGAAAAGATATGGAACATAGCTAGAGTTGCCAGATTAGAAAATTAGAAATACAGGACACTCTTAAAATCTGTGTGTGTGTGTGTGTGTGTGTGTATATATATATATATATATATATATATATATATATATATATATATATAGCAGCATACCCCAGCGTTGCCCGTGCATGATTCAAAAATCGTACAACTCATACAGCAATCGCTATCACTTGACTTAAAATATTTTTGCCCTTCCTTGCCTTTAAAGGAGTGCCCTTTGCCGTGCTGATGTTGCTATATGCCTTACTTCTTGCCTATCTCACAATGCAAATGTTTTCTAAGCTCTATACTAAACATTAAATCTGTTACGAAAAAAGAACTAAACAAAATTAACACAAAACGATCAGCTTTAAAAAAGGACTCGTAACTGGAAAAACCGAATGAAAAAAGAATTTTAACAACAAATACTTTTTCACACCCAACCCAGCTCTGTGGAATCAGAATCAACATTGAGTTTAAGCAAGCGAATGAGCCAATTGGAGTAGAGTGCCATGCAGATTTAAATTTTTCCCACTTGTGACAAATGTCGCTATCGATTTTTTTTTTTTTTTTCTCTTTTTTTTTGCATGCTAGTTAACATTCATGTCAGTCAGCTGTTGGCACTCACGCTGGCTAATAGAATCTTCTTGCCTATTCGTGGCAGCCAGCTATAGGCTCTCGCTCTGGCCAGTAGAAAATGGCCGCAGACTACATGAAAACTGCCGTAGAAGCATGAAAAAATCGATTATTTCCACTATCGATGGGAGTTGGGAAATGCAAAGTTGGTCTTGGCCTTTCTGCTAACTTGGAGCATGTGCATGTAAATTTTGGTGCAAATCCGTTGAAAATTGTGGCCATGCATTTGTTACACACACACACACACACATCCTGCCTTATATATATATATATATATATATATATATACACACACATGCACATTTGTGCCTTCTTGTATACTCTGCCATAAAGTATGCAAGTTAGCTACTGGATTAACAAGACATG